AATGGGTGGGTGTGCACTCACCCACAACCACCTATCAGAGCCGTCAGCGCCATCTCTGTCGAACACCGTCGCTAGCACGCCGTATCTTTGTTGAATCGAATTCGGAAGTTTTGGATTTTGATTTTGATTTAGGGTTTTGGTTTTCAGAAAGGGTGAGAGACAAAGGAAGAAAAGGGAGGGAGAAGGAGAGAGGATGGGTGCAGGAGGGGTGAGGTCGCCCAGATTATTATTATTATTTTTTATTTTTTATTTTTTTAAAGTTTTTTACTTTTTTAATATTTACGTGGGCCCCATGTTGACACATGACGCCCAATCATGTTCACGTGGACGCCACGTCATCATTTAACGGCTAATTTAACCGCTAGACTAACGGATGTATGAGACTGTCCTAAAATTAACACTTTAGGTATGACTCTGGGACGAAAAAAACTTCATGTACTAAATGTTGAAAACCACAAAACTTATGTAAATAGTTCCTACCTATCTACAGACAATGGTTACAGCACATTTAATCTGATATTTTAATACTTATACACAACAATTATAATTCATTTAACATTCCCGCGGCAACGCGGGCCAAAACTACTAGTCCTACCTATAAGACTACAAGAATATTTACAACTAAGACTCAAATCAATGTAGTGTGCATTCTGATTTATAGGTTTGTCCTCCTACATGATGTTTGTTTTTATTCTTTTTTTCCTAACCTATTGCTTTTGGTGCTTTGCAACTTGTGTTGAGGTTTTGATGTGATTAAATTGAATGAAGAATGGCTTTAAGTGAGTTAACAACGTTTAAGAGTGGAGTTAGTAATGGACAAATGTCATACTCTAAGAAAGGCCATAAAGAGATCAGACACTGCTTGGCTGCAAAAGATTTGAACTCAGAGTTGGGAGTCTTCCACTAACTTCAAGTCACCATTTTGGTGCAATTTCAAAATTCTCGTAAAAAAAGGTTTGAACTCAGAGTTGGGAGTCTTCCACTAACTCCAAGTCACCGTTTGGGTACAATTTCAAAATTCTCGTTCAATTGATGAAATGAAATGATAGAACATAATGTTTTAGTGGATGTTATCATGGATAGCAAAGACTAAGAAATCAATTGTCTTCAAGTAAGTATCACACTAAGGAAAAAATTAATTACAATTTATAATGAAATGATAGAACATAATGTTTTAGTGGATGCTATCATGGATAGCAAAGACTAAGAAATCAATTATCTCTGCTAGCATCACACTAAGGAAAAAAAAATAATTCCAATTTACAATGAATAGAAAGAAATACAATAAGGAATACAAGTAAAACGTATAAAACGGCTGTATATATATAAAAAAAACATATAAAACGTCTTCTTTATACGGAGGAGTCAGCTCAACTCAATGGTTGGTTCTCAATAAGAGAGTCATCTTAGCGATTCTCTATTCCAGCTCAAGGGTCTTTTGAGTTTGGTCCAATAATGCCTCTGTAAAAGAAATTATGAAAAAGTCTACTTCTGTTTTTTTCCTTAAACATCAAAACTGGTTATTGGACAAAGGCGGAGTTGGCTAGACTACCAAGACATAAGAAACATATAGAAGCCCTGATTCGGTGAACAAATATGTTACAAAAGATTAAATTTTCGTCCAAGCCATCACTGAGAGGAGAGCTGGTCTAGTTAAGTAGATAAGCTTGCTAGAAGAGGGACAGTGAGATGAGAGAGCACCTAGTTCTACGGTCTGCAATTCAGAACCATGAATGGACAATGCATTGCAATGTTTGAATCTAAATGTAAAAATCAGAAGTCGCATGAGGTTTGAAGCATATGAGGCATGTGAGTGATGAAAAAACGAAACTAGGAAGGAAACACTGCAATGCAACGTCATAATTCAAATGTAAAAAACAGAATCAGGAAACAGAAACTTCCTTGCGGTGTCTAAATCTGTATTGACCTATTCTAAAAAATATAAAAAAAATATGAGAAAGGGGTGCCAATTGAGTGAGTGCCAGCTCTAATGGAAGATTTTTGTAATTTTTTTGTTTATTTTAAATGCATTTAAATATCACAATACACGATTAACTTATTTATAATTAACATAAGGTAACTTTTTATTGCTTCTATACAAAATCACCTTTTAAGATACAATTTTTATTAAATTTTTATTGGTTTGAGTTAGTTTTTTTTTATCTTTTAATAATCTTATGCAATCCAAACAAATCAAAATTGTTCTGTATTTACTCCAAAGGTAACATGATTTCAATTGGACTAAACACTTACAATGCCCTTTTGTATTTGCTGATGCAGGTTAAACTCATCTCTCGATCGTTGTTAACTTTGCAAACCTTGACTAGAAATAACCATATAAACGCAGTATGAGAAAATGATAATCATGTTCAAACATTTATGAATGCTTGCATTGTCTCCAAAAGCAACCGATGAAATCAAATTACCCTACAATCCCCCTTCCTTTGTGCTCCTAAGCCTATGCTTATGTGGTTATATATATATACATATTTGTATAAACTAGAAAATTTGCCTGTGCGGTGCTGCGGGACTTGAATGCATGACGTTGAACTGCATGAATAAGATACATTTTATCTGAATAAATTCAATGTAATAAAGAATGAAGAGAGGGATAGATGAGTGAATATATACATTCAACTTAGCTTAAAAGACATTGTACAATTAACAGGACGAAACTAAACGTTTTGGTTCCCTAATAAACATAAGTAATTAACATGTAATTCACACAAATTTTGCCCTTGTAGTCAAGGTGGCAAAATATATATCCTATAGGTTAGGCATATGTTTGAGCAGTTGACAAAAAACATAAAAACTGTTTTGTTCTTATTCTAGCATCATAGTGTTCAAGCACAAACAGGCAAAGTAAAAAACATGCAGGATGCCTGTTTCCATAAGAAACAAAAGTAACATGTAGTCGACACAAATTTTTCCCTTGCAATTAAGATGGCAAAATATATGTCCTGCAGGCTAGTTATCTGTTTCAGTAGTTAACAAAAAACAAAAAAAAAGTGTTTCGTTCTTGTTGAAGCAGCTAAGTCTTGTAGCAAAAACATTGAAAGCCAAAAACATGTAGAACGTCCTGTAGCAGTCTATCACGGAGATTGCAATGTTCACTTTTTCTGAGAGTGGACATCTTCCGCACTATAGCAAAAAATATAAATCATAGTTTAACATTTTGCAGTAAAATCGACACCGATTTTACCAATTGTCTCCTTTCTTTTTAGACACAGAGCCAAAATGGCTACTTAATCTTTTCACTTTGAAAGTAGAGTTCAAACAATGCCAATGTTGAAAACCAATCTGTGAGAAAGAAAGATCATCTATTCCTCCCTCTTTTATTTGTCATTCACTTGAGTTATAATTACAGTATGATATTTTACCTCTTTTATCTCTCAAACTTTTAACATGTTTATAACATATATATATATATATATATATATATATATATATATATATATATATATATATATATATATATACAGATTGCTTAAGGGAAGGGATCCCCATTTTTTGAAAAAAATGGGGATTAGGTGTGGGGCCCACTCCACATCGAATTTCAACGATCCGAACCGTTTATTTTGTTAGTCTCGATTCATAGATCATCCTTGCAAAATATTAGCTAAATCGGAAATGTTTAAGACATCTAATTGTGTTCAAGGAAATGAACAAATACTTTGTTATATAAGAAAAAAATGAAATTTGATCTTGATAATTAAATAGGCAAATGATTTTGGATTGAATTGAATTTTTGCAAGGATGATCTATGAATCAAGACTAACAAAATAGACGGTTCGGATCGTTGAAATTTGATGTGGAGTGGATCCCACACCTAATCCCTATTTTTTTCAAAAAATGAGGATCACTTCCCTTAAGCAATCTGTGTATATATATATATATATATATATATATATATATATATAGGAATTGCTTAAGGGGAGGGATCCCCATTTTTTCAAAAAAATGGGGACACGCTCCCCACCGTTGGATTTGAATTAAATGAAATCCTGTGGTTGAGATTCTATGGTCTGTGTTTTAATCTCAACCACACAATTTCATTAAAGTCAATCTAACGGTGGGGAGCGTGTCCCCATTTTTTTTGAAAAAATGGGGATCCCTCCCCTTAAGCTCCCTGTATATATATATATATATATATATATATATATATATATATATAATATTAAAAAAATAAGCATTCAAGAGAAAACTAAATAATGCTAAAGTCGTCCACGAAAACAAAGGCTCAATAATTACTTACAAGTACAAACAAAATAATATTATAATTTACATTGAGATACAGACACCAACATAATGGCACTAACATATATAATATATTAATTATGTTATACTAACAAAATATGTGAGAAAAAAACAAAGAGTGCTACTAGATCTAGCCAGTACTTATTTTTCCACCCACATGATAATCCCACCCACCATAGAAAATTAAAAAAGTAAAATGTTATTTCCCCACCCATCATTATTCCCAAATTAACCATAATATATATATATATATATATTTATATATATATTTTTTAAATAACTCTAATATATCTTTAAATAATATTATAAATAAATAAATAAAAATAGAAAAAAATGAAAGAAAATGCAAGACTTAAGACCTAGACATTCATCATCTTCTTCACACTTAACGTCGTCCTGACGAGACCCCGGATCCCCAAACCACTCTTCTTCCGCTTTTTTTGTCAAAATCGCATATCTCACTCCCAATTCTCTTTTTTCTCCATTGAAATTTCTTGCCTTCATCTAGCACACACCCATTCGTTCCTCCAACCTTTCCGTCTATTCTAACCCAAATCTTTCTACCAAAGATATCACACCCCACCCACCATTATTTATTTATTATTTTAAATTATTTTTTGTTTTTTCAAAATTTTAGTACCGAATTAAATAGGGATTTAAGAGTCTTCTTTTAAAATGATAAATATGTTATTAACATTTTCTTTAAACGATGGGTGGAGAAATAAGATATCGAATATCACCACTCAAAACAAAAAGAAAAAGACTGACTTGACCTGTGTCTCTCTCAGAAGCAAAAGCTCTCTCTTCGTTGCTTCTCTCAACAGATCCCACCCAAAATACGATTGCTTCTTCTCTTACCTGTTCTACTGTTCAAATCGAAACCCAGTTACCCAGCACCAGCAGCCAGCAGCCAGCAGCCTTGCAGTTGTAGACGACGTAGCCAACACAGTTGCAGACGCCGGTCCACGGTGAGAGTCTCTCCCACCAGAGTCTGATTATCCTCTGAAATCGTATCCCGACAGTCGAATTCGCGTATCGAAAGCGTATCCAGAGGTCAACTGGTCAACGGATACGTTCAGATACGTATCCGGGTCGTATCGGGTGCGCGTGTCGTATCACAAACCGTATATGATACTGGATAAGCCATAAAACTGGCATGTCCGTGCTTCGCAGTGCGGGCAAAGTTCGTCTGACTGACTCTTCCATTCCTTCTAAGCTGTGGACTTTGTTGGTCTATCTTAATTTCTGTGGCCATCCAATCTCAAGTGTTTTTTCTTACATTTGATAAGACTTCTTCTCTGTTGTGCTTTTGTGCAGATTAAACTTTGGTTTTCTGGTTTTCCATTTGTCTTTGAACAATGATGGAGCATTCACGTACTATTCGTCATTTGGTTTTGTTGAAATTCATGCCTGGCTTCTTTCTCTTAGTCTTATACATGATGAGCACATGTCCGGAATCTGCAGCATTTCCCAGCCCTACCCTGCTTGGAAACGAGTCTGATCGCTTGGCTTTGCTAGACTTCAAGAAAAGAATAACTGAAGATCCTCTCAGTGTCATGAGCTCGTGGAATCATTCCATCCACTTCTGCAGTTGGGTGGGCATTACATGCCACCGTGCCACTCAAAGAGTCTTGATTCTGGACCTGGAAGATAAACAATTGGTAGGCTCCATCCCACCTTCCATTGGGAATCTTACTCGTCTAATTGAAATAAGCTTGGGAAGCAACAAGTTTCATGGTGAAATTCCTCAAGAATTGGGTCGTCTACGTACCCTGGAAAGTCTCAACCTGTCTATCAATTCTTTAGGCGGGAAAATTCCGACTAATATGTCTCACTGTACACAACTGAGAGTTTTCGATCTTGCTTCCAATAAGATTATTGGGTCGATTCCACACCAACTCAGTTCATGGTTGAGTTTAACTGTTCTACATCTTAGAAGTAATAATCTCAGTGGAACCATCCCAGGTTGGATAGGAAACTTTTCTTCATTGTGGAGTCTTAGACTTGGCCGCAACAATTTTCAAGGAAGCATACCAAATGAGCTCGGGCATATAACAACCTTGAAGATATTCGCAGTTGGGGAGAATAATTTGTCTGGTATGCTCCCTTCTTCAATTTATAATATTTCTTCCATATACAAGTTCAGTGTTCCTATGAACCAATTACATGGAGAGCTACCACCAAATCTCGGCATCTTGCTTCCTAATCTCGTAGTATTTTTATGTGATATAAACAATTTCACAGGAAATATTCCTGTATCATTGTCAAATGCTTCTAGACTTCAGGAGATTGATTTTGCTATAAATGACTTCACGGGGACAATCCCTGGAGAAAGTCTCGGAAGCTTGCGAAGCGTAATTTGGCTAAACTTTTTTGACAATCGACTGGGAAATGGAAATCTTGGTGATATGAGTTTTCTCAATTTCTTGACTAATTGTACTAGTCTTCAATATCTGGGTCTTAACTATAATCATTTTGGAGGAGAAATCCCGAGATCCATAGCCAACCTTTCGACCCAACTACAATTTCTTTATCTCGGGGTTAATTTGTTACACGGAAGCCTCCCAAACGGCATTGGAAATCTTATAAACCTTACTGAGCTAGCTGCGGATTTTAACTATTTGGCGGGTGTTGTCCCAGAAGAAATTGGAAAACTCGAGAAGATAAAGCTACTGTATTTAAATGATAATAAATTTTCCGGGCCAATTCCATCTTCCCTGGGTAATATGACTTCATTGATAGAGCTCCACATGGAGAGAAACAGTTTTGAGGGAAGTCTACCTCCAAGTCTTGGAAAGTGTCAAAACCTGTTACTACTTTCACTTTATGACAACAATCTAACGGGCACCATACCTAAAAAGCTTATGGAGCTTTCAACCCTTTCAATTTCTTTGGACCTGTCTGAAAATTATTTGACTGGTTCACTGCCAAGTGAAGTGGGTAATTTGGTGCATCTCACAATGCTAAATGTATCAAACAACAAGTTATCAAGTGCAATTCCCAGCACCCTTGGCAGTTGTACTAGTTTGGAGGGCCTGTACTTGGACGCCAACAAATTTGAAGGAACAATTCCTCAGTCTTTTAAAGATTTAAAGGGCTTGGAAAAACTTGACATTTCAAGCAATAACTTATCAGGGCAGATTCCTAAATTCATAGGCAAGCTTGGAGCACTTAAGTATCTCAATCTTTCGTATAATGATTTTGAAGGCGAGTTGCCTAAAGAAGGAATTTTTTCAAATGTCAGTGGTGTCTCAGTTCTTGGAAATCATAGGCTTTGCGGTGGCATCCCACAATTACATCTACCTACATGCCCCAAAAATAAACACCATTCATCTCGAGGACTACTTTCCCCAAAAGTGGTCATCCCTATATCTTGTTCACTTGCATTCATAATTGCTCTATCATGCTTCTTCGGTGCTCGTTCAATGCTGAAAAAGTCAAGAGATGGACTTGTAACTTCACGTTCTTATAAGGATTGGAAATTAGGTGTTTCCTACTCACAACTTGTTGAATCAACTAACGGTTTCTCTATGGATAATTTGATTGGTTCGGGAAGTTTTGGTTCTGTTTATAAAGGGGTAATTCCTAGCGATGGAACGGTAGTTGCTGTTAAGGTATTAAACCTTCAACAACGAGGAGCATCCAAGAGTTTCAATGATGAATGCAAAGCTTTAAGAAGTGTCAGGCACCGAAATCTTCTTAAGATTATAACTGCATGCTCGAGCATTGATAATCATGGTAGAGACTTCAAAAGTCTAGTCTTCGAGTTCATGCCAAATGGAAGTCTTGACTCGTGGTTGCATCCTAGAGATGAGGAGCAATCTCCCAGTAAGAGATTGAATTTTATGCAAAGATTGAACATAGCCATTGATTGCTTCTGCGTTAGATTATCTCCACAACCATTGTGAAACGTCCATTGTTCATTGTGATCTAAAGCCGAGCAATGTACTTCTTGATGAAGACATGGTAGCCCATGATGGGGACTTTGGTTTAGCAAGGTTCCTCCTCGAAGCATCAAATGATCATTCCCTCACCCAAACAATGTCATCGCAACTAAAGGGTTCTGTAGGTTACATTCCTCCAGGTATGAGATTCCATCATTCTAATTTCTTTTTTCGGTTCTTATTAACTTATTATTAAAAACCAACTAATTAAATTCTATTTATTAAAGATATATTATTGACTCTTTTTCCTGGAAACAAGTAGCATTAATCTGAAATAAGATATCAATTTTAATAGTCAATTGCATGTGACATCTTATTGTCTATATGTATGTCACGACAGAGTACGGCTTGGGAGGCCAAGTTTCCATACTGGGAGATGTTTATAGCTACGGGATACTCTTGCTAGAAATGTTCACAGGAAAAACACCTACTGATGACATGTTCATCGAAGGTCTAAGCATTTACAAATTCGCAGCCATGGCTTTGCCCGACCATGTCATGGACGTTGTTGACCCTGCATTGCTCCTCGACCTCGAAGCTGATGGTAGTGTTAACGATGGAAAATACGAAAGGATTAGGCTGCCCAGACGTAACAATCGCGGAGTGGTGAAAGCAAAAAAGGTAGAGGAATGCTTGTTTGCTGTGATGCAGATAGGACTCTCCTGCTGTGTAGGATCACCAAGGGAGCGGATGCTTCTGAATATGGTTGTCGGAAAAATGAATGCAATTAGAGACTCGTACCTCAATGTTCAAGAAGGCTAAAAAAGGACAAAGATATGCTGCTTGTGGTTTTTCTTTTCTTGTTTTTCTCTACTATTCATTCCATTGCCTTGAACCTTGCCTCTTTTATGTTAGCGGTTGTTTTAAACGGACAAAGTTTTCATTTGTATGACTTGAAGCTTTCAAATTCTTGTTTGTGTGGAGCTATTTGTAATTGTCTTGGTTATGTCAATCCTGTTTAGAATCTATAAACTCAATGCTTAAGTAGTTTAGAACATTTCAGTCTCATATTTCTTCCCAGATGGTTGCATGTGCTACACAAGTTTTGTTGGAAAATTTTCTTTTGTAGCATGTGGGTTATGGTTGTGATGAAGGATGAAAGATTGCTTCAAGGCAGGTACAAATATGCTGTCTTTCATACTCTATTCGCCCCCACATACAATGTGTAAAAGGGATATGCGTTGAGTGCAACTATGGATCTTTCCAGGAAGGTGTGTTATTTGTAGAGGGGTTGGAATTTCTGATGCTTATTACTGCAAAGAGTGTACTCAGCAGGAGAAAGATGGAGATGGCTGCCCGAAAATTGTGAATCTGGGAAGTGCCAAAACAGATATGTTCTATGAACGGAAAAAGTATGGTTTCAAGAAAAGATGATCTAGCAGGTCATGTTTCGCTTAGCTTCAGGAAATCATTTTGTTCTATGAACGGAAAAAATATGGTTTCAACATTAGAGTTGTTAAATGTATATTTCAACAAATCATTCTAATGTGTACGACAAACAGAAGCACACAAATTTACTAACGAGGATAAATAATTAACAAATAGTTTTATTATTGGTCACCACACAAGTTCAAATCTCATTGGATTCCCCACTTCATGCATAAAAGAATTGAGACTTGCTGAGTTGTTGAGGTGACAAGAAGAACCAAATTCGTTTTAAAAGATTGAAAGTGCTTTTAGAGAAAATATTTTATTTTTTAGTTAAAATGGTCTCTGAGATTAACATAACTCTTCACTTCGGTCCCTGTGATTTACAATCGATAGAAATGATCCATAAAATAGCTCATCATCAATCATTATGGTCATTCCGTGAAAAATCTACGTTAAATTGAGGGTATTTTTGTCAAACCAACCCCTCCACTTAAACTAGTGGTTTTTTCAATTTCCCTGAGATTTTGCGAAGAAAACCAAAATAATTGCCGGTTGACAAACACATGGCCTACTTTTATTGATTTTAAATCTTATGGACTATTTTGGTTAAAAAACCACAATGTTTTTTAGTTCTAAAAGTACATAAAGTGTTTTTGTAGAGTTTACTTGTTTTTTTTTAAAAGATTGTTTTTAAAATTATTTTCATAAAAAACGCTTTTAGTTATTTGAAAAGCACTTCTAAATGAGTTTTTATCTCTGTGCCATACAGAAGCCACCACAACCATCATTGGCGGGTCAAAAATGCCAATTGGCAACACCAGGATCTCCTAAAAGATGATCACTTGCAGCAATTGGTACACATCATGATCCAATTTTCTCAATTCAAGCAGCGTAGCATCTTGTCTGCTAAACATTTCTCATGGCAAACCAATCTCTCTCATCACTAAAAGTTAAGGCAAATTTGTCACCTACCCTTCAACTTAACTGCAATCAGCAACTGCTTAGAGCTGCACCCCACTTTATTATTTTCTCCCATCATCACACACGCTAGTGACGAGGACTGGGAAACAGATTGAGATCAAGTTCAACTTAGTCTAACTAGTGATACGATAAAGCGGTATGGTTCTTCATTTGTAAGTTCAAGGTCTCGGATTGATTCACATTAATAGCAAGAACGTATTATTTTTTGTGTTGAGTTTAATATCTAGTAAGTAGTTGACCCATTGTGTAGCCTAAACCAACCACTTAAATGCAGAATAATGTTGTATTCAAAAAGTTCTTTTAGCCCCACTCCCTTAGAATAGATTATCCCCTTTAGATGAGTCTTTCATGCAACAAAAATGCTACTCAAGTAAATTGTATACTATTGTATGGAAGAACAATATGGTTAACCGCTATCCAACTCAATAGAAGTTTGTTTACTTACCAAGAACGAGAATGCAAAGTATAAGTATAATTCTCACTCCTGACATCATGCATTTACTAAAAAGCAAGGAATAAAAAGGTAACAGAATCCCTTGTTAACTTATATCCGAAAAGTATGTACGCATACCCTAAAGTACAACTGAAAAAAGAGTTCCATCTCATCGAAATAGTTCAGTTCATGCCGAACCAACAACGGACAACCAAAACAGAGTTCCATCTCTGTTTTCCCCCCTCTCCTCTCTCTCTCTCTCTCTCTCTCTAGAAAACAAAATGCCTGATCCTTTCTCTGGAAGTATCCTCACCCATTAAGCATTACTTGCCCCTAAAGCAAATCAAAAACCAAAATCCCAAAAAAATCCCAACTTTTGAATCCCATCTCCTATTTAATCCCACCCATCTCTCTGTTTTTCGTCGCCATTAAAACCCCAGAAAGCTTTGCTGTTTTTGTTTTGGTTATGACAAACGGCTCTCACAGCGGCAATGCGTCGAACACATTCGAGGCATTCTACGAGGGTTGGCTGGTCCGGCAAGAACACTTCCTCGATGAGCTCTTATCGGCCCAGCAGACGATCGACGAGGCCCGAGATGAAGACCTCCGAGATTTGGTGTCTCAGGTTCTCTTCCATTACCAGCAGTATTACGACGAGAAATCGCGACTTGGACAGCGGGATGTTTTACTGGTTTTCTCGCCGACGTGGTATACTTCCTACGAAAGGAGCCTGCTTTGGATCGCCGGGTACAAACCGGGTATCGTATTCCGGCTAGTGACCGAGTCGGTGCCCGATTTGAGCGACCAGCAGCGGGTCAGAATGGCCCAGATGAGGGAGGCGACCCGGGTCGAGGAGCGCGCGCTCAACGACAAGCTCGCCAAGATTCACAAGAGCGTGGCGGCGCCGCCGTTCATGGATGCGGTGCGGCGGTACGGGAGGGCCGGGCACGGGGAGATCGTGGAGGACGACGCGGTGATGAAGTCGCTTAAGTCGGCATTGGAGACCGTGGTGGAGAATGCCAACTTGCTGAGGACGACGATGGCGACGAAGCTGGTGGATTTGCTGAGCTCGGGGCAGGCAGTGAGGTTTTTGACGGCGGTGATGCAGTTTCAGCTGAAGATTCGGAGTTTGGGGTTGGAGAGGGACGCCGAGAAGCAGCGGGAATTGAGCGGAGGCGGTGGTGGTTGGAGCCCAATTGAGCGGAGGCAATGCCAGTGACTTCCCTACCAGTGACCAAGGCGATGATGTCATACGTGCCTTCGAATGTGTAGATGGGTTCCAAATCACCGAAAGCCTGCAAGGTGACCACAAAATGAATGCATTCAAAAGGTGACAGAAATAACGAAAAGGTGTACATATACATCAAACACACACCCTTTGCAAAAGAAACAGCCTCTCGATGGCACGTTTAAGATCCAACGCAATCAGATTCCACAGATAAGCAGGAAATTACCTTTGCAACAAGAAACTCAGATAAGATTCCATTGCCACCGAGTAATTCCCTCCCTAGAGCAACCGTTTCCCTTGCCCTCAGAGTGATCCATGACTGAAAATTGCACCCACTTAGTATTTTGAATATTTTGAATGTATAAGCAATAGGATAACTAATTGCATCAGGGCCTCATTTTTTCTTACCTTCCCCATGCTAGCATGACCTGGAGTCATTTTACCCGCCTCATACAGCTTGCAGAGGCGCCAACCTATAAGAACCATAGCTTGAACATTACCAAGCATACGGACAAGTTTCTCTTGGTTGATCTGGAACGCTGCAAGAGGGGCTCCAAATTGTTTCCTCTCCTTCAGATACCTTTCAAATCCTTATAATTTAGACTTAATACAGAGGAAACTTGAATTACGGTAAATGGAAGATGAGAGAGAGAGAGAGAGAGAGAGAGAGAGAGAGAGAGAGAGAGAGAGAGAGAGAGCACCGCTTAGGCATGTTTTTATACCTATGACACATATCATAGACCCCCACACACAAACCAATAGGTTGCCAGGCAACCATGACACATTCAGTAGTTTAAAGCAACATCAAATCAATAAATACTCATGAGAGACCATAGCACATCTGTTTTATATTAGGGCAACAGAATGAAAAACTTTGCTCCATGCTCCGTAGAAAGAAGATTCAGAGTTATTAACTTTGGGATAATGTCGTTATAACTTTGGGATAACGTCATCGCAGTATCAAGCCTTATCTCTCAGAAGGGGAAAAAAGAGCTATTACAAAAACCAAGATGAATCTCTAGTCAAGCTTAAACAATCTTGTTTATTAAACATAAGCTCGAATAAGAAGTAGAATTTATGCCTAAATTACACTAAAGGGAGAAGATTAAACAAATTGCAATAACGCAGCGTTGCAGCTTACCTTGTTAGTATCCTGAAAAGAATTAACACCAGGTAGCCTTTCCTCATCTGGAACAAATACTTTATTTAAGAGAACATCTCCATTTTGAACAATGCGTAAACCAATTTTATTTTCTTTTTTTGTAGCTGTCAGTCCAGGGGCATTCTTCTTTACTATAAATCTGAAATAGAAGGAGAAAAAAAGCATTCAACATGAGAGTGCTGCTATGGAAAACCATCATGCTAAATTTTGGATGCATCTAGGCATCTAAACACCAAAGCAATTTGGAGGCAAGGAGAAACATAATCAGAAAGAAATAATCATGAATTCTGCGTAACTTTGAAGCTTAACAAACAAGTTTCAAACACATATTGAGAGGTTGTTCGCATGTTTATGATTTTACATACCCATTAATCTGATTGTATTCCGAGCAAAAATAATCAAGATATCAGCAAATGTACTGTTTCCTATCCATCGCTTTTGGCCTTCAAGTACCCAACCTCCTTCCACCTGATGATCCCAACAACACAAGAATACGTGATATAGCATGATCGGAGCCATGACACCCAAAAACCAAAATAGCATGATAATACCATTTAACAGAAATAAAGAAGCAAATGAGAAGGTTGAAATCCTTGACCTTTGTTGCTGTCGCTCTCAAGGCACTCGCATCACTTCCATAGTCAGGCTCAGTCAAACCCTTTAACATGTAGATAAACAGATTTGAGTATCTTGACATTAGCATAAAAAGATATTAGATACAAATATCATAAAAGAGCATCTTACCCAGCAGGCGACAGTCTTAAATTCAGCCAAAGAAGGTAGATATTTCTGCTTTTGAGCCTCCGACCCACATAATGCTATTCTTAACAGTCCAGAAATGTTACACTAGTTATAAGCCTTGACATCATTTTTCAGTGAAGGTTTGGTATTTATAAAACAAAAAGTCAAAAACAAAATTATCCAAATTCTAACCAATAGTAAGCATTGCTAGTGAGGAATGAACCAAGAAAAAAGTAGAACAGCTTGCATCAACTCTAGCAATTTCAGCTGTAGCAAAAGCATTTGGCGTGATAGAAAGACCAGGACACCCATAACCCTGATAGAAAGAAGGCCAAAAGCGAAATTACCAACCCATCCAACAAATTATCGAACGCAAGATTTCAAAATAACTTATTAAGATATGTATTAAGCACCTTGATTGTCCCACCAGCAATGCGCAATGCACCAAGCTTTGGAATAATTTGAAATGGAAACTCTGCCTTCTCCCAATACTGAAAAAACAAGTTCGCAGATCAATCTCATTGTTTATGAATGTATATTAAATAATTAAATATGGACTGTTTTAGCCTTAATATGAAATGCAGAAATGGTTAGAGTAAAAGGGATACCTCTGCCATAATTGGAGCAACGTCTTTCTCCATACACTCTCTTACACTCAACCTAATAGCCTGCTCCTCAGGTGTCAATAGATCATCAATCTTGTAATAATCCGAAGCTGTAAATTTTTAAGGCCAAGAGATAAGAATATGGAAGTTAATTACTGAAGTTGCCCGTTTCTTCAAATTACAAATCAAAATCACAACAACTAAAGAGGTGCACGAGCAATGACTAAATATTCACAAAGAAACAAAGTAAAAACAAACCAGAATGCAAAAAGTGAGACAAAATGAATACGCAAATCCGAAAAATTCGAATCGATAGTCTGGATTCACATAAGTTACATAACAAGAGGAAATCCTGAACTGTTTTACAAAAGACAATTTCTCCATAGAAACACATACAAGTTTATCTATACGATATCTATTATA